TTTCTGAACATTTTCTATGAAAAGAGAAATTTTCTGTAAAATTTTCTATGAAAAGAGAAATTTTCTATAAAAATGAAACATTTTACTGAAAATTTTCTATAAAAGAGAAAATGTCTAAAAATGTTGTATAAAAAGTTTGAAAAAATTAGAATTTTATAAACAAAAATCAGGATTTATTGATAAATCCATTCTATTTAATTTTAAGAGATAAATTACATTTTTAACTAAAGTTAAAGTTTAATTTCCTAATTTGCCCTGTTTAAAGCATTAATTATAATACTTTCAATTCCTTTCATTTTTAATTACTTCCCCTTTCACTTTTGTATATTTGTAAGAAAATATTACTTTTATAAAATTTTGTACGAATAACAAGAAAAGAATTGAAAACTTAACACTCAACCACTCACACTTGCAACTATACTTGGCAACAGTATGCATTTAACTATTCAAATTGGTTGTTTTTTAATTCATAGCATACATTTAGGAATTGTAAATAAATATGCACTTCATACTCATACTTGACTACTTGATGATGAAGATGGCAAACATGTTTGCATACAAACTGGTAATGTTATATAAATATGTATGAAGCAGGAAGAGAGACAGAGAAGTTAAGGGGAACTTATTTTAAGGACGTAAATACAGATTTAAAAATACATAGACAGCGACTGACGACTATATATAAATCTGGTGATTTCTCATTTCAATTATAAAAAATTGTTATATTTATTTAGAAATATAAACAAATATAAATTGAAAAATCTCTTAAGCTGGCAACGAGATGTAAAATCACTATAAAATGTCACTAATTTTTAATTCCTAAACAAATTTAAATTAAAAAAATATTTATTTTATTTTCATTTTGTTTTATTTCATTATTCGTTTACTCTGAACTTTGCTTATATTTATTTTTATTTTATATCCAGGATCAAATCAATATTATATATTTTTTATAGTTATTTTTTTTTAGACAAATAAAATAAAAATTAACAAATTTCTATACATTCATGGTTGTATAAACAACATGGTTGAAAAGATACAACAAAAAAGAAAAATAAACTAATACAAAATACACGATTTTATTTGAATTACAAAAAAAAAAAAAAACTAAAAAAAAATAGAAGAAATTAGTTTCAATTGGACACATGCAAAAAATTTCGAAAATATAAATACATATGCATACATACATATGTATGTACGTATGTATGTATGTCTATAGTTGTTTGAATAAAAAACAAATATATTTTGTATGTTTATACAGTCAAAAAATAAAAAAACAATAGAAAAACAAAAAATTTCGTAAAAATAGTAGTTAAAGCTGAGTTTTTTTATATCTATTTAAGTGAAAAAGAGACAGACAAATAGTTACAACGAATATTTAAATGTTTTATAAGTTTTAAATAAAAGTGAAAAAAAGAAGGATAAAAATCACCAAACTAAAAAAAAAACTTATATATCAAAGCAGGAAATCTAAAATAAAAGAAAACTAAAAAAAAAACATGTTCGAAAAAATATGCAACTAAAATTGAGGACACGGAAACATGCGACATTTACTAGATAAAACTTAAATAAAAGAAACAAAAAATAGTGAAATAAATAAATTTATTTTGTTGTTTTTTTTTATTTATTTATTTGTTTTATGCTTGTAGGTATGACAACTATATTGTGCAAAGAAAATTTTGAATGTTTTGCTTTTCTTGGATCAACTAAATAAATGAGAATTTATTTCCAAATCAAATTTAGGGTTTAATAGAGGATAAAGGAGGGGGCTAATGCAAATTGCAAAGGATAAAGGGCTGGAAGGGAAGACAGTCATTGGTTTTAAAAGAGCGTTAATATTAGAGCTTGTTTATAGAGGCTAGCCTATAGACTTTAATATGTATTATTATACTAGACTATAACCTACTCTAGTGACTAGACTAAAGACTGGATCATTGACTATGCTATAAATTAAACTACGGACTAAACTATAGTCTAGACTGTATGCTAGACATTAAACTAGACTAAAAACTTAGCTACAGACTAAACTGTAAACTTTACTATGACTAGACTATAGACTATAGACTAGACTATATACACTATAGACAAGACTATAGACTAGACTATAGACTAGACTAGACTAGACTATAGACTAGACTATAGACTAGACTATAGACTAGACTATAGACTAGACTATAGACTAGACTATAGACTAGACTATAGACTAGACTATAGACTAGACTATATAGACTAGACTATAGACTAGACTATATAGACTAGACTATATAGACTAGACTATAGACTAGACTATGACTAGACTATAGATTAGACTATAGACTAGACTATAGACTAGACTATAGACTAGACTATAGACTAGACTATTGACTAGACTATAGACTAGACTATAGACTAGACTATAGACTAGACTATAGACTAGACTATAGACTAGACTATAGACTAGACTATAGACTAGACTATAGACTAGACTATAGACTAGACTATAGACTAGACTATAGACTAGACTATAGACTAGACTATAGACTAGACTATAGACTAGACTATAGACTAGACTATAGACTAGACTATAGACTAGACTATAGACTAGACTATAGACTAGACTATAGACTAGACTATAGACTAGACTATAGACTAGACTATAGACTAGACTATAGACTAGACTATAGACTAGACTATAGACTAGACTATAGACTAGACTATAGACTAGACTATAGACTAGACTATAGACTAGACTATAGACTAGACTATAGACTAGACTATAGACTAGACTATAGACTAGACTATAGACTAGACTATAGACTAGACTATAGACTAGACTATAGACTAGACTATAGACTAGACTATAGACTAGACTATAGACTAGACTATAGACTAGACTATAGACTAGACTATAGACTAGACTATAGACTAGACTATAGACTAGACTATAGACTAGACTATAGACTAGACTATAGACTAGACTATAGACTTGACTATAGACTAGACTATAGACGACTATAGACTAGACTATAGACTAGAGTATAGACTAGACTATAGACTAGACTATAGACTAGACTATAGACTAGACTATAGACTAGACTATAGACTAGACTATAGACTAGACTATAGACTAGACTATAGACTAGACTATAGACTAGACTATAGACTAGACTATAGACTAGACTATAGACTAGACTATAGACTAGACTATAGACTAGACTATAGACTAGACTATAGACTAGACTATAGACTAGACTATAGACTAGACTATAGACTAGACTATAGACTAGACTATAGACTAGATAGACTAGACTATAGACTAGACTATAGACTAGACTATAGACTAGACTATAGACTAGACTAGACTAGACTATAGACTAGACTATAGACTAGACTATAGACTAGACTATAGACTAGACTATAGACTAGACTATAGACTAGACTATAGACTAGACTATAGACTAGACTATATACTAGACTATAGACTAGACTATAGACTAGACTATATACTAGACTATAGACTAGACTATAGACTAGACTATAGACTAGACTATAGACTAGACTATAGACTAGACTATAGACTAGACTATAGACTAGACTATAGACTAGACTATAGACTAGACTATAGACTAGACTATAGACTAGACTATAGACTAGACTATAGACTAGACTATAGACTAGACTATAGACTAGACTATAGACTAGACTATAGACTAGACTATAGACTAGACTATAGACTAGACTATAGACTAGACTATAGACTAGACTATAGACTAGACTATAGACTAGACTATAGACTAGACTATAGACTAGACTATAGACTAGACTATAGACTAGACTATAGACTATAGACTAGACTAGACTAGACTATAGACTAGACTAGACTAGACTAGACTAGACTATAGACTAGACTAGACTAGACTATAGACTAGACTAGACTAGACTAGACTATAGACTAGACTATAGACTAGACTAGACTATAGACTAGACTATAGACTAGACTATATACTAGACTATAGACTAGACTATAGACTAGACTATAGACTAGACTATAGACTAGACTATAGACTAGACTATAGACTAGACTATAGACTAGACTATAGACTAGACTATAGACTATACTATAGACTATACTATAGACTAGACTATAGACTAGACTATAGACTAGACTATAGACTAGACCAGCGGTTCCCACCGTTTTTTACTTCGAGGACCCCTTGAGGAATTTATTTAATTTCACGGGCCCCAATACATATTTTGATATCTTCATTTCTAACATATAGAGAATATTTCTTATTCATGATTTTTTTTCGTTCGTCTTCGCGGACCCCCTAGGTTTTTGCTACGGACCACTAGGGGTCCGCGGACCCCCTTTTGGGAACCGTTGGACTAGACTATAGACTAAACTATAGAATAGACTATAGACCAGACTATAGAATAAACTAGACGATGGACTATACTATAGACTAGACTATAGAATAGACTATACTATAGAATTGACTATAGATTTGACTATAGACTAGACTTTAAACAGGACTATACACGAAACAATACACTACATATATTGTAAACTAGACTAGTCTATAGTCTAGACTATATCATCATTAGCGCTCTTTAAAACCAAATGCCTTAAAACAAAAAACTAGGGTTATATAGGTAATTCATCCAATACTAATTTTTGGTGCACTTTGGGAAATATTTGGAAATTTCATTTAACTTTTTATCGGATTAGAAAACTGATAATGAATGACTGATTATGCTACTGTTTAATGTAATCAAATTCGTTTTTGTTCAAATTGTATAAAAAAGTGTTTTCACAAAACTAAAAATATAAAACTGTATGATAATTGTAATTGTAATAATATATTGAATTAAAAAAGTTAAAAACAAATTCATAGACAAAGAACACGACGAAGAGCAAAAATATTTTGATTTTTAAATATCAAAAAATGTAATATCAAGAATATTTTCAAATAATAATGAAAACAACTTGGTAGAGATAGTTTTAAAACAGAAAAAATTGTTTAGCAAAAATAGTGTGTTATAAAGAAAAGAAAAAAATAAACAAAAGTTTTAGCATAACTTACCGATTCATGAGGAGTACGATAATCGAGTTCGCCGCCTAAAACACCGCTGGCCGAAGCCGAACGAGGCTGCAGATGATGGCGGCTATTGCTGTTATCGTCTTCACTGCAATCGATTTCTTTTTTGAGAGACTAAAAAAGGAAAGAAATTGAAGAAAACAATTGTTGTTTTATTTTTTTTAACAATAACACTTACCAAAGGCACCGACTGCACTGGTCCTAAACCCGAAGGTCCCGGCACGGTATCACTATGTAGGCCTAAAGCTGCCGCCGTTGATGAGGCCGGACTTAAACCACCAGCCATAGCACTAGCTGAGGTAGAGGGCAAACTGCTTAGACCACCCCTACTGCTGGGACGATCTAAACCTGAACCTTCTCTTGAACTACGTGAAGCTGGACGTTGTGAGTGGGTATCGAAAGCCAACGGTATCGTTGTGGTCAAGGGGGTAGAACGTGCAGAATCTACACCACCTTCAGTGCCACCGACACCACTGCCACCATGACCAGAACTATCTAAACCCCTTTGCGCTGCTGTCAATTGGGGACTAACTAAAGCGGCCGCTAAACTACTGCTACGTATTTTCATATTTAAACAAACATCTTCCGAATTGTTATCGCCATCATCATCCAATTCCATTTCTTCGTCTCCATATTCGACATCTTCAACATCTTCGATTTTCTCCACACCACCCGACATACCTTCACCACCCATTGTCTCATCAATGGGTCTATTTACATCGTGTCTTGCTAATCGATCGGGTGAATTAAAACTTCTCGCTGAATCTCTTTCTAAATCATCGCGTTTCTTGTTACCTTCTCCACTGGCGCTGCTTCCGCTGCCTCCACCACCACCACCTTCACTAGTGTTACTATGCTTTTGTATGGTCCCGCTTGCTGTGTGGGGTGTTGTACTTCTTTGTTTCTCATTTGTATTATTATTATTTACAATTGCATTTTCCTTGGTGTCTTCCTGTTGCTGATGTTGTTCTAAACGTCTTTGATAGAGATCTAAGGGTAGTAGTGTGGTGTCTTGTTCATGTTTACCATGCAATAATCGCTTTGGTGGTGAGGGACTGCAGCGTTCACTTGCATGTTCTCGCTTCGCACTCACTGAGCTGGCTAGATGACTGCTGAGACTGCTACTGCTGCTGAATGCAGCCGCTACTAAAGAGGTGGCTGAGGGGGCAATTGTGCATGTTGTAGCATTTGTTGTGGCAGATGTTGAAGAGGCGGCATTTGATGCTGATGTTAGTGCTGAGGCTGCCAACGCAGCTGCATGCTGCGTTGATGAGGCTGCTGCTGCTGCGGCGGCGGCTGATGATGTTGCGCCCGATGTTGAGGGTCCGGAGAGCGTAGCATCGACTGGACTGTCACAAGAGTTACTACGTTTACAGGGCTGTGAATGAGGTCGTAGACGTTCGGGTTCACGTTCTGGTTCTCTTAGAGTTGTATTCTGATTTGTCATTTCTGCTAAACCCTTAACCTGGAGAATAAGTAAAAAAAGAGAAATTTGTTAAAAAATTTTCTATAACAACAGAATCGGTTTGAAAATTTTCTCTAAAAAGAGAATTTGGTCCAAAAAATAGTAAAGACGGAGAATTTGCTTAAAAAATTATATGAAAATAATTATTTTTCGAAAATTTTATATAAACTGAGATGTTGTTCGAATTTTTTCTAAAATAAGAGAGTTAAAAATTATCTCTGAAAAGTAAACTTCTTCGAACAATTTCTATAAAAAAGGAATTTTTCGAAAATATTCTATAAAAAGAGAGTTTAATTTGTTCGAAAGTATTATATAAAAAGAGAATTTATTTTTAAAACAAGTAAGAAAGTATAGTCGGGCGTGTCCGACCATATATATGATATATTATTTTTCATAATAAAGCATTTATCTTGAATATTACCTTCATTCCAATTTATTGACGAAAAACTAATTTTTTTAAAAGAGGCTTTATATGGGGGATAGGAGCAAATGTGGACCGATGCCGATAAAATGGGCGGGAAAGATTTGTATTTATATAATATTTGTCTGTGCTAAATTTCATTGCAATAACGTGTTAATAAATGAATTGCGGATATTCAAGTCACTTTCTGAAGGGGGCTTTGTATGGGGGTCCGATCATTTCGAAATTCGGCAAGGTCATCAAGGCTTGTATAAAACTTAGCTGTGCGAACTTTTATACTTTTCCACTATAGTGGTGTAGGGTATAAAAATCGATAAAAAGAGAATTCGTACGAAAACTTTCTATAACTCTCTATATAAAAACTGATTTTTAAATTCTATAGAAAATTTCATAAAATTTCAATTTTATTTCTTAAAATAGAAAATATTCACAAAAAATTTCCCTTTTTAGGAGCATTTTCGAACAAATTTCTGTTTTTATACAAAATTTTGAAATATTTTCTCCTTTACTTACCTTTAAAGACTCGGCCGTTTTCAGCAATGCCGATAACTGACAATATTGCACGTTTACTTCGCCTTTATACATGAATTCTACTAATGTTTGCAGTTCGGCAAAACGGACGTCCTTTAGTATCACAATTGGATGTTTTTCGGGGTGGTCCAGAAATAGGCTCTGGAAATATGATGAACAGGCCGAGAGGACCACCTAAAAAGTTGAAAAAAATAAGGATTAAAATGTGATAAATATGTATTTTAAATAATTTGTTTTTAATATAATAAAATAAAATGTTTTGCATTTAGATAAATATACACTTAAAGCTATAGCTTATAAGAGATTTATGGCAATTTGCCTTCGGGTTCACTATGATGAAAGAAAGTAATGTGTTTTGGTAATTTTTTCAACTCCTATATATATTTTTTTTTTGGTAAAGGAAGTTATATTTTTTAGTTTATTCATATTGTATATACAAAATATTACAAACAATTTTTCATTGGCAGTAATTGTCAGGTAAATCAACACTTTGTTGTTGAACCTTTTAAACTGGTAATTTATTTAACAGAGAATAAAATAAATCTGTGGAATCCTCTTAAACATAAAAAAACAAATCTGAAATGCTCATACATAGTAGTAAGCTTAAAAAGAAGATAGTTTAGTTGTTTTTTAAGGAAAAAGTCCAGTTGAAAAATTGATAAAAAAAAAAGAAAACTAAGGAGTGTTTGTGGTGAAATATTTTATGTTATGCTAAGAAAAATTATTAGATTTACGATTTGCTTATGAAATAAAGAAAAAAAAAACAGACTTAACAGTGCACCGATTTTTTTTAGAAATAGTATAGGAAATATACAGAGTCAACTTTAAGTCTCTCGTCAACATCATCTTTGCCACCATCACTAGAAAAACTAACTAACACAACCAATATGTTTTCGTTTTTTACGGCTTTAAAAGAGCAGCCGCCTTAGGCTTGCGAGGGCGTCAACATTTTCTTTTTTTTTGGGGTTTTTATAAAACTGACTAAAATGGAATGCCTTTAATATATATTTTTTTCTTCTGACAAATCTATGGCAAGTGTTATTGCAAATACACACTCATACACACACACCTCACTTACACTCACTCTCTATAGCTGCATCTGACAAATACAGAGTGATGCAACTTGATATTTAGTAGATCACAAGTGTTGGCGTTGCGTTATTCATTGCACTACATTTATTTTTGTGTGCCACAAGTTTTTTTTATTTTACTTTTTTCCATTCATCTGTAAGTAGTTCGATGAGGAAGGGGTATTTTAAGTTTTTTATTTGGTTTGTAACATTAAAAAGTTTTTCTTTATCTTAGTAGTTACCCAGTAAAAACTCTTAAACTTTGGTAATGACCGTGGTAATGACCAGTGGCCTCCGTTAGGTTAGTGGTTAGTGTTCTAGTCTGGTAGACCGGAGGTGGTGGGTTGGATTCTCATCTGAGGCACTGGCTAAGGAGCGCACAACAGGCTCGATACTGTGGCCTAGGTGTACTTCTTCAGATTTGATGTATATACATCCTCCTTTTAAACTAACTACTAGCTAACTAACTGGTAATGACCAGTAGTTAATTCATGCATTACTTGGTAATGAGTTATCATTATCAAACACATTTTTTTTATTTAGCTAAATAAGTAATTACTGGTGAAGAGCGAATTAGAGAGAAAAGTTGAACCGTTTTCACTGCATTCGAAAATTACGAAAAATTATTGTACTTTCGATCACAATGGAATTCTATGACAGGCCTTATATTTTTATGTAAAAAATCGTTTGCAAATGCACAATAAAAATCTTGTTAATGCAGCATTGGGTAAACTGCTGAAGTGAGAAACACGGAAAATAACTGAACACCTAGGTTCAAATCTCAGCGGAGGAACAGTTTTTTATTTTATCCCGAAATAATTAGTTATTACATAACTTATTTCTAGGTTTATTTATAACTAGTTATTTCTTGAAACTTTTCGAACAGAAATAAGTTGTTATTAACCCCAAAAGTAAGTAGTCTTTCCTTAGCTCTTACTTTACTTTCATGCTTACTCGGTAAGTAAAATGTTTGGTGGGTAATAGTAAAGAGTTCCATCATCGGCTACACCGATTATTTTATCATGACAACCCTTGGCCACATGTTGGAATATTTGCTAAAAATTTATTTAGAAAGATTGATCTTCTTCTATCCGACTCCCCCGGGGCATGTTTCCTAGATGAAAGAGGTACTACCAGTACCTCTAGTGTGCCGGGACTATAACCGGTGATGTCAAATATATCCTCGGCCTTTCCTTGGAATGATTTGACATGGTGTCGAACTAGAGCACCACATAATCTGGTACTACGGGTGGCCAGTTGCCTACAGGTGTCCTGGCTGGTCAGTTGGTTGAGGTTCCTTCGGGATCCTCGTAGTGGCTGTGGTTAAAACCCTAATTCGTGGGAAGGGGTCCCTGATGATTTATGGTGAAATATAAAATTTTCAGAATAAGTTTTTGTTAACGCTCCTAGTTTCTAGTAGCGGTACAAATCACAAGGCAAGATTGAGGATTAATAAAATATTGGATTTGAGCTGATAATGCAAAGATTGGGTATGTGTTAGAGTGAGATATACCATCGGATACTTGTATCTGATGGATGAGAGGGATCCTGTGTTGTATCTGTGGAGATATCGGAATGACAGAAGGAGTGACGGTTGAGGCGGCGGTGGAGTTGGTTGAGACGTTGTGGAGTTGCAATACCTTAATCTTTAATTTATCGCCGATTTTCCTTCATGGTTGAGTATGAAGTAGTGTGATTGGGCTACTTTATGAGGTCCACGAATGCACTGGGGTGAGTCTTTAGACGATGAGAATGTTTGTAGGGACAAAGCATTCCTCATAACATTAATAGGGTGTTTTAACCTGATCTTGGGTCCGCCCATTCTATCGACTCTAACCATTGATTGACTTTTCCTTTGTCGGAGTAAGATTGAGCTTGACTCATGACACCTGTCATTCCCCTGCGCGACTACTATGGCAAGAGATTAGACAGCTCGAGTACTTGAGCAAAGTGCACGTATACTGGACCGGAAATTCCATATACGTAAGTTGCCACCTGCGTGTAAGAAACACAATGGGGCGGTGGTGAATCGTTACAGAAGCTCACCCAGTGGTTAAAAAAGACCACCGCGAAATAGGCCAATCATGGCAGGTGTTCACGTAAAGCACTTCGGCATTAATTTGTCCTGTCCGACTACTATTTATTGGGATCGATACAGAGTACTATCTCTGTGGAACGCTCCACTTTAGAACAGGGTAACGGCTTGATTTGTTCATGGCCTCAAAACATGAGTTTTTTGGGCTAGAAATCCCTATTTTGAATTACCTTTTGTCAAAGGCCCTTTGGGCCTTACTCATAAAAATTTATTAAAGATTTATAAGAAAAATGTTCATACAAAATTTGTTCTATTAATCATTGAGAAGTTGTTGTGCACATGGCATAAAATATTTTGATTTTTTTATAATTTGAAATTAGAAAAAATATTTACATTTTCTTTTTCATTTGTTAAGGTATTTCTAAATCCCATTTCTACTAATCTAATTTCATTTAAACCTTTCTAATAAAACTATGTACGTACCTTTGGGCCAGTTAATAAATATAATTTTTATTTTGTTATTTCACTTGACCGCCTGTTGTGCGTTTTTATGTGGCATTTTATTGCACATCGATGTCGATTTTTATGTGAGCTTTTTTTTCTCCAACGAGACGGAAGGGGAAACGCACTATCAAATCGAAAAAACAACAACAACAAAAATTAGCACTTCTAATGCTTAGACTGCATATTTTAGCTATTAAAAATCACATGAATTGTAAGTTGAGTTAACTCTCTGTGTTGAAACAGCTTTTAAACGCCTGAGGTTATGCAATGATATGCTACATTGCATATATTTTCATTGCAAAAAGATTTTCATATAAAATACCTACTTATTCGTGTTTTTTCTTGAACTCACGATTTTTGTATACCTTCTTTGGTCTTTCCCAAAAAAAATATATTTATGAATTTTTGATATAGAGGGCGTTTTTCTTTTTACAAGCAGTTTGTGTGTGTGTGTATGTGATGGTTTTTGCGTGGAGCGCCTGTTTTCCTTCTTGACTTGTTTTTTTTTTCTCTGCTACTTCATGGCAACTAAGTTTAGCAGGCATTTTTCAGTGTTTAACTTTTCTTTATGAATTTTTCGTGTTATTTTTTAAGGTCGTTTTTTGTACTTTTTCTTGGTTTGAAAAAATTGCTCGAAATAGAAAATGTGCGCAGGCGCTAACGATTTTTCGTTATTTACTTGTTGGTTCATCATAAAATTTTATTATTATAGCGGTAAATTGATTCTTTTTGTTTTTCTTTTGGAACATAAATTTGGACTTTAAGGAAAAATATGCGTTTGGTAAATTAGTTCAAATTTAGTTTTGTAAGTAGTTTTTTTTAGATCATTAAGCTTTTTCTAACTAGATTTAAGAAAATATTTCTTTGAACATTTTTAATTATTTTTGTCTCTGTATTAAAAAAAAACAATAAGAAAAACAGTTGCTGTTGCTGTCTAAAGAAAATTTATTTTGTTGATTTATAACTTTTGTATTGCGGCTAATTTTGTGGCATGTGTCATTGTTAGTTTGTTTTTCTATTTCATTTATAAATAAATATTTGCAAGAAAATCAACATACGAGGACAATCTTAAAATTAGTTTACATCAAGAGAAAGTTAGCTATTTAAGTTTAAATTTGCTCAGCTATATCTGACACGATCTATCTTAAAACCCTTTAGATAGATTTTATTATTTAATACTTCAATTCTGCTCAATCACTTATCTTAACTACTCTCGCAACCCTATTTGGCTACTATGACTATAACAATTTGTTCAACTACAATCTATGCATCGATCTTCTAAATTTATCATTGCTATAAAATGCGTTTTTTTTTTTTGCTCTCCCAAGCCTAAAGCGTTTTTCATAAATTTGTTTGCAACCACTGTCAGTTGACACCACTCTCTACACTCATATGTAGATTTCATTAAACATATTTTCTTTACTACAACTCGTAATCACGTTATAAATTTGTTTTAGAATATTTTTTTATTAAAAAAACACCTCCTGGTTTTAAACCATTTGTAGTTTAAAAAATAAATTTGTTTTGCAGTTAACAACCAACACGACGAACTTGATTGTTAAAGG